GGGGGCGGGCAGGCCTTGAAAAAAGAGCCTCACTCACAAACAGTTTGGGCTGCGTTCGAGGGTAAACATGTGCGGGAGGGGTGCGGGAGGGGTACGCGAGGGCGAGCGGTAAGCGGGACTGAGGCTGGTGTGTTCTGGTCCTGACACACAGATCCCACCTCAGCAGGGACACAGAGCACCGCTCTGTTCGGGCCCCAAAGGCCACAGTCTAATAAACATCCCCCCACCGCCTCCTGTGTGTTACATCCACAGCGCCCTCTGCAGGAGAGATGAGAACGTGACACAGAAAAAACAAACACCAAGAGCCTGAAATAAACGTTTCTCTCAACGCCGTAATTACTTAACAAGTAGGACTTGATAAGTAACTTCATGCATCGCAGTTAATACAGAGGACAGATGCACATAAACGCTTCTAGAACTGTGGTTCATAACAAACATTACTTTTTGCCTTTTCACAATTTACTTTAGGCTAATTTTAAGCTAACTAGCTAGCAAACTATTTATTCTCAACTTTTTATCCATTACATTTCAGGTCCCTCGAACTCTATTTTTTCTTCAACTGTTTATAGACTGCTTTCAGCTATTCAGCTACTTATTTTATTTTAGCCTTTTGACAACATATACATTTCAACTGTTATCCACGGCTATCTAAAATGTGGAGCCATTACTTTTAGCTTACAAAAATGTGTAGGCTAGTCTTTAGCCTAGCTATCTAAAATGTTTATCATCTTTTACAAAACAAATTGTGTAGGCTTTTCATTAGCGTAGCTACAGTATTTAAAATGTGTATCACATTTAGCTAACAAAATAGTGTGGGCTATCCGTTAGCCTAGCTATCTTAAATGTGTAGGCTCCATCCATTACCATTAGCTAATGTACATGTGTATCCATTCATATCAGCTACCTTAGGTGTATCCATTACTTTTTGCGATATATTTAAACCATTTATAAAGTACTTTAAGCTAATTGATTAGACGTCTTTGCTCACTTGCAAACTATTTGTCATGCCCTTTCAATTGAAACAGGTGATGTACAGTTGTTACAACTGAATCAGTATCGCTACATGTAGTCTACTGCAGAGGTGCAAGTAACCCTGGCTGGTAGCCTCTGCACATGGGCTAATGCAAACTGTTTAGGTTATTTTCCCCCTGTATGAAAAATTAAAAGTAAAAAGAAATATGTTAGGAGTAAAAAAACATAACATCATAATGCAGACACAACTCCACAAAACCTTAACATCTTCACAGAGCTATAATAAACCAGATTGCATCAGACCGTATAGCTGTTCATGTTATTGTGTCCACCTTGATTAATTCAATTTAAAAACTGATTAAATGAAGGTATAGGAGAACAATATAGGGGAAAAATTAAGACGGCATGGAAATATTTAGTAAGAAATAAGAAAAGACAGAATTAAATCAAGAACCCGTTAGAACATAACAAGACTAAAACTCAGATCAGTACACAACCAGAGCCTCTGAACCTGAGCGAGTCAGTGGCCTCCCCTCTCTGGCTGGCCGACAGCCTCTCACTTCCTCCTCGACGAGAGCGGCTGCAGCAGCGGCACGGGTAGCTGGTGGATGAGAGGGTTTGGGTAGGTGCAGGGTGAGGGCGGGGGGGACTTCTCAGGGAGCAGGAGAGGCACGTGCAGCAGGGAGCCCGACTGACAGAGGGGAGGTAGGAAATGGGGGCGTCTGTCTCGCCTGTGGCTCGCTGCTGTCCCTTGCTCTCTGCTCACCCCGCTGCGTCTGGATGCAAATAGCCGCTGCTGGTCCTTTGGAGTGACAGAATCTCCCTCTTTGCTACCTGCGAGGCCCAGACTTTGTAACCACTCACAGAGTCTGGCATCTTCCTCTTTCTCGCTGTGTGACGGCGCTGCATATTTCTGTTTGCCTGTGCAGTCCACCTTGAAGCTCCTCTTCCTCCCCTTTGGCTGCTGCTTCTCTTTGATCGCAGGATCCTCTGATGTCTGAGGCGGAGTCACCCATCTGCCCTGTCTGCCCCTGTTTCTGCCATTGGCTCTTGCGGGCGGACAGAGGTGAGAACACAGCTGTCTGTCCTGCTGCTCGCTTTGCACCTGAGTGCTTGCTGACGCCAAAGACCGTGTGGCAGCAAAAAACCCTGACCTGAACATAACTCCCATGTGTAGATCTGAGTCCACTTCAGGCTGATGTGCAATCAACGCTGTGCCAGACTTAGTATCCTCTGAGAGTGGACGCACAATCGTACCAGCATGGTTGCCTGTCTGGATGTTCGTAAAGGCATGTGCATCCGAAGCTTCGATGGGGTGCACGTTTGCAGGCAGCACAGCTCTGGACCTGCAGAAAATAGAGCGGAGTCGTCGGTGTGGGGGCAGACCGGCAGAAGGACCAAGCGGTCCGATGCTGCGAAACAGCGGAGGAGGCCGAAGGGCGAGAGAAGGTCTAGAAATTTCAACTTTCCTCTCAACGCTTTTACTCATCCTGTTTAAAAGCCTTCCGATCCAAAGTGAGGGTGATCAAAAAGACCTTGCACTGAATTTGTAGAAGCAATCTTCTTTCCAGCCCCGCTTTCCAAATGGAGGTTGTTTAGTTTCCGCAGTGGTAAAATGTGGCACAAAGAAAGACAAAACAGAGGGAGTCTGACTCTTCATCCCTACAGGATACTCAAGGTTGTCATGACAAAGGACCATTCCTCTTGGTAAAAATGAATCAAAGAACAGAGGCTTCTCCTCCGCACTCCTGTCCTCATCTCTCCAGTCTTTTTGAGCCTGACTTCACTGAGCCCTGGATGACAACCATCTCTATTCCAAACAGCCCACCCACCTTCCATCCCTTTCATCCTGCTGCCCTCTCGGACATGAAAGGCGCAGTCCATCGACCATTCCATCTCAATGAATTATGAATTAATCGCAAGCAGCGGTCAGGGGACGACATTCATTTACGGAAGAAAATAGGATCCACACACGAGTTATTAGGCCACTTGTTTATTGTTTATATTCATAAAAACACAAACAATTTCTTTCTTTCTTTCTTTCTTTCTTTCTTTCTTTCTTCAGACCGTGTTATCACAGGCCGGTCTTACAGCAACAATGTCAGTCTACAATCATATTGTCCTGCTCATGTCACGAGGCAGTGCCTGACATAGAAATTCAATTGATGGCCTATAAATTGACATATTGGGAAGTACTCTAATTTGCCATAATGAGTATTAGAGGAGAGGATTGATACCACTCTCACATTTATGTGTGCTATACATATGGAGCTAAACCTAGGAGGCAATTAGCTTAGCTTAGCATAAAGCTAGGTTTTCGTCAAGAAAGAGTTCTGTTTGTGCATGGATTACACAAGCAAGATATAATGTATGTTTACTACTAAGTTTAGAGTTGTTATTATATGAAGCTACTGGTTAGCGTAGCATAAGACAAGGGGAAACAGCTAGCTTGGCTCTCTCCGAGGATAACAAAATCTGCTCCAACACTTTTGCGGCTCAGTGATTAATTTGTTATATCTTCTTAAAGGAAAATATACAATCTAAATATACCATTAATTAATTAAAATAATGAATGTGTCAGCTTTAATGGTGTTTGTAGATGGATTATGTCCACCTACATTATACATTAATGTATTATGTAGGATACATTGGGCAAATACATTATTATATTTGCCCAATGTTTTAGCGGTCAGGTCCTTCTGCCCAGGATCAATCTGGGAGAAAATAAGAAAAAAAAAAAAAAAAAGTTCTGCAACACAAATCTGTATTCATTTTATAGAAAATTTTACATTTTAATTTTAAATAGTTATTTAAATGAAACCATCTGAGAAGTTTAAAGGGGAACTGTCTCTTTGGTGAAACTCTTAATGACTCATAGACATCTTAAATGGGACACGCAGCCCCAACCAGACACTGTTTTCTCTAAAGGGTCACAAGTAAAAAAGGTTGGGACCCAATGGTATCATTTTAAACAATATATTTCATTTTATAAAGTTATCATATGTTCTGTAATGTAAAATGCTTAAGTTTAAGTTTCAAGTTTATTTAATTTATATAGGACTTTAAAAAGCAAACAGGTTTAGACATAAATGTTTACACATACGAGCATAGAGACATATTTGTGTGTATATATGTGGAAACAAAGCAAGATTAAAATAGATACAATTCTAAACACAATTTAAACCCAGGGATTTGGATAAAAACAGAAAAGCAGGTTACACAGAATTAAAAGCAAGAGAATAATAGTGGGATTTAAGGTGTATCTTAATAGCAGGCAGGCTTTTCCAGACCAATCAGCCGCTACCAGGGGTCTTAATCTATACAGTGACATTTACTGAAGTACTGTACTTGTACTTTATACTTCTATTTAACTCTATTTATTTGACAGCTGTAAATAATTAGATAATACATTTTCAAATCAAAATTTTACAAACAAAACATGTGATCCATATATAAAACAACATGCTGTGTTATAAATTGAACTACCCAAAATAACGCATTTGAAATCAACTTCACCTAAACCAGTTATAGAATTAAACATTGACATGTTAATGCATCAATAATGGTGTCCCAATGATATAATCATCTCAGTCTGACAAGGTTACTTTTGGTTACCTTGAGTACATTTTTCTTATAATACTTGTGTATTTCTACTAAAGTTAAATTTTTTAATGTAAGATCTTGACTTGCAATTAAGTATTTCTAATAATTTTAAGTCAATCATTTTAATACTTCTGAATTGTTGTGGAGTAGAACTATAAAGTATATGGAAAGTGTCAAGTACAAGTACTTAAAAAAATGTGCTTACACAGTACTTGAGTAAATGTGCTTGGTCACTTTTCACTGCTGACAAAATAAATACTACCTGGCTGTGAATTGTTTTCAAAGATTTATCCCCCTATTGCGTCTCTTAAACGCACTGCCCTGTACTTCCTTGGGTGGCCATGAGATGGCGCTACTCGCGGTACTGCAGCCTGAAGAGACGATAAAAAGCTGCTCGGTCCCGTTTCTTTTTTCCATCCGCGGCACCAAAGCGGAAGTACTTCAGTGGTCAGCCGAGGCCGAGATCAACGCCAGCTAAGCAGCAAGGTAAACACGGAAAACGCACCGTATTGCTGTAATTCGGTAATGCCGCGCGTGATATTTGGTGTTGAGTCGCGGAACTGTCTGGTTTGAGTGTTTGTGTGCGTCTCACGGCGCGAGGAGGCGACGGCGTGGTGAGGTGAGGTTAGGAAGCGAGGGAACGAGGACGAAGAGGGCAAAGTCATACGTAACGTAGGACGAGCCGCCGGTAGATACGCAGCAAGCATAATAAACCGTGAATACACCGAGGTATTCGTTTTTTACTTTGTTAATATTCATAAAGAAAACATTGAGTGTTTTTTACAGCTCCTTGTTGTGTTGGTGTGTCATAACAGCTGTGCAACATGGCTGTGTTAAGGAGGCACGAGCTGTTTACCTCATTTAACCGAGCTAACTTCTTAAAGACGCACACTTGATTTATGACGTTACTAGCTAATAGATACTAAAGTGTGTGGTTGAGTAACGTTTCTCACGAGACATTCCTAAAACATTACAGACTGCTACAACTAGAGGTCCGGAGTTTAAGTAAACTGTCTAAGTGATGGATAAAACCACTGTGACAGATGCTGTTGTATGTGGACGATAGATGGTCAAATGTTTATGGGGCCGATGTCTTCCGTTAGCTGATCACATGTGAAGCTCTTCAGGGCAACGATCGATACGATTAGTTAAGTAATCACGTAGTCCAATCCACAGAATATTAATCTGCAACAGGTTTCATAATCTATTCATTGCTTCTCTTTTTTTTAAAGCAAAAAAACAAATTCTCAATTGTGAATATTTGCTGATCATGTTTGTTTTTAATGACAACTACAAATATATATTTTTGGGTGTCCGAATGTTGGTCTGTTCAAAACAACCAGTTTCAATACTTGGCTTAGGTTTTGGGAAAAAAAATTGTTGGGCTTTTTTCACCATACTTTTTTTTACACCTAAAGACCAAACTGTTAATAAATGATCTGCTTAAAAAAAGAATCAGCAGATTAACCAAGAGGGTGTTTTGCCTGTCAATCAGCCCAGATCCCAAAGACATTCAATATACAATAACAGGAAGCCGTGACATCTCACCAAACCAGCAAATGTTCACATCTGACATGCTGGAACCAGTGAATTTCTAGCATTACCGTAACTTCAATTCATAAATAATTGGATTGTTGCAGAATCGATGAATACACACAGGCCTAGACTGTAGCGTATACATTTTCAATAAAAAAACACATCTTACCATTCGTCTCTCTCTGAAATGCATTGCTTGTGTTGTGCTTTGATGTAACTAACTTCTTAGCTTACATAGAGCTGGCTACTATGACATGTTCGTGTAGAACGGCTGTAAGCATGCCGGCCTCACATCCGTCTCTTGTAAGTTCAAGATCTTTGTGCGTCAAACTGGCCTGAAATCACAACAAACTCTTATTAACCAACATTCTCCTTCTGTTTTTTTACTCTTACGTCTTCCACGCAGATGGCTCACAGGCTGCTAGTGCGCAGAATTTGGACACTCTCTGCGAAAGACATCCGCTGCCTCCCAGCATCCGCCGCCGCCTCTTCTTTTTCCACCTCTTGTCTGCAGTCCGCCGCCAGCCGGGCGTCCTTCCTCTCGCCCTCCCGCTCTCTGCCCCGCTCCCTCCCTCACACCTGCCGCCGGGAAGTCTCCTTCAACGTCCAGGACCACGAGGACTTCACAGTCAGGGTGATCAACAGTGATCTGCCCGTGCTAGTCGACTTCCATGCACAGTGAGTAGCGCGGGGAGGGCTGGTAGTAGGTGACTGTCCACCTATATGACGGTATACACGCTAAACTAAAGTGAGTAACTGTAACGTTGGATTGGATTATTTCTATGTTTTCTAAAAAAAATGAAAAAAGGATTTTCAAAAAAAATAAAGAACATTTTTTGGCGCTGACCTTGAGAAAGCACTTGTTTTCCAGCTGCCCTGCCTCTTTAAATGACTAGAGGTGTTACATACAGGGTGTGTTAAAAATAAACACACGTGTACGTAACTGACCCGGGGGTATTCCACTCTCTAGTCATGTGAGGTTGCACAACACCACAATGTTCTCTGTCCAGTAGAAAGGTCTCCATCTCCCTAGCTTTAAACATGATTTGATGCATTCTGACGTCTGATTTAAACTCAAATTGATCTCATAAGGATCGAGATAGTCGGGATGCTTGCTACATGGACTCAGATTAGGTGTCATGTAGGCGATGCTTATCGCTATTTAATAAAAAATTTAAAAAAAAAGATCGTTCACCATCAATGGCAACCATTTAGAGCTGAACTGAGAAGGTAAGAAATTAAAGTTATGGCCAACAGTTACAATTTAAGTCACTCAACCTGTTTTACTGGTCCTCTTCCAAAATGTGTACTTTTAGTCTGTTCTCATAAAAAGCTGTGACCTGAAGTTCATTTTTCAGTTAAAATTTAAAGTAATTCCGCTTTCTGAAAAGTAGTGAAACGGCTGCTCGCATAAAGCCGTCTTCATCACTTTCACTTGTTTTATTTCTGCGTAACCAATAATTGTTTTTCTCAAAGAAGATATTTTGACATCTTCGCTCACAGATGGTGTGTGTGTGTGTGTGTGTGTGTGTGTGTGTGTGTGTGTGTGTGTG